TGTTTGGCCAGCCTGCTCTGTCCTCAATGGGGGGGTTAGGGTGGGAGGGGGTCAATTGGGGGCAGGGCTAGTTGGGGCAAGGGTCTGCAGGCAGTTGACCGACCAGCCCCAACCCCTGGTCAAATACCCAGTCAAAGGGACAATTTTCATTTTAACCTTTTATAATATTATATAGGATGTTAACTCAGTAGGATTAAGCCAAAAGGCATGATTTTGTTTTAGTGTAATAAATAATATATACTTAAAAAAAAAAAAAAAAAAAAATTAAAACCCACTTTTAGAAATATACCCCAAGAAATCAGAAACACCAGTCAGAAATATATGCGACCCTATGTTCATAGCAGCACAATCTATAATATTTGGAAACAGCTTAAGTGCCCATCAGCAGATGAGTTGATACAGACCTAGCTGGTTTGGCTCAGTGGATAGTGTCAGCCTGTGGACTGAGGGTCCCAGGTTCGATTCCAGTCAAGGGCACATGCCTGGGTTGTGAGCTTGGTCCCAGAGTGGGGTGTGCAGGAGGCAACCAATCAATGATTCTCTCTCATTGTTGATGTTTTTATCTCTCTCTCCCTCTTCCTTCCTCTCTGAAATATATATATATTTTAAACTGTGGTACAGCTACATAATGGAATACTATGCTGCTATAAAAAAGAAGGAACTCTTACCATTTGCATCAGCATGGATGAACCTGGAGAGCATTATGCTAAGCAAAACAAGCCAGTCAGAGAAAGATAAATATCACGATCTCACTCATTTGTGGAATATAATAAACAACATAAACTGATGAATAATAGATCCAGAAACATAGAAGCATCGAACAGACCATCAAACCTCAGAAGGAAAGCGGGGGGTGGGGGTGGGGGGTGATGGTAAGAGATCAACTTGTTTGCATACATACAAGCCTAACCAATGGGCACAGATAATAGGGGGGTGAGGGCATGTGCTGTGGGTGGGAGTGGCCGGGGAGAGGTCAATGGAGACATACTAGTGTGGAATACTTTAAACAATAAACAATTTAGATTAAAAAAGAAAAAAAGATGACAAAGTCCTGGAGATGTGGTGGTGATTACACAATGATGTGAATGTGCTTAATGCCACTGAGTAATATGCTCAAAAGTGGTTTCGATGGTAAGTTTTGTGTGTATTTTGTCACAATTAAAAATTTTTAATTAAAATATGTTTATAAATTATTCTTACCTTAATTTAAACCTTATTTAATAAATAAGTAAGTGCTGGTTGTAATCTACCTCATTGATTTCCTGAATCAATAATGGGCCCCATGACTCACAATGTGAAAAACAGCTACATAACATGTGTAATAAGTCTACAGGGATCCACATGGAAACATCTGGAAAGTATAAGAGAGAAAAATTGCAAATACTTTCAGGATACCAGTTATGTGCACTGTTTAAAAATATAGATTATACAGTTTTCACAGACTCCAGAGGAGTAGTAAATGCATAAAGGCTGGTCCTGGAAGAATAAACTAATTTCAAAATAATTGTTAATCCTGCCGAAACCGGTTTGGCTCCAGCCTGTGGACTGAAAGGTCCTGAGTTCGATTCCAGTCAAGGGCATGTACCTTGGTTGCGGGCACATCCCCAGTGGGGTGTGTGCAAGAGGCAGCTGATCGATGATTCTCTCTCATTGATGTTTCTAACTCTGTCCCTCTCCCTTCCTCTCTGTAAAAAAATTAATAAAATATATTTTAAAAAATTGTTAATCCTTAAAAGGGCGGGAGGGAAACGGATGCATTTGAAGATGGAGATATTACTGTCATTGGAGGCTTCCATGGGAAAGGCCAAGTTTTTGTTTTGTTTTTTAATATATTTTATTGATTTTTTACAGAGAGGAAGGAAGAGAGATAGAGAGTTAGAAACATCGATGAGAGAGAGTCATCGATCAGCTGCCTCTTGCACACCCCCTACTGGGGATATGCCCGCAACCAAGGTACATGCCCTTGACCGGGATCGAACCCGGGACCCTTCAGTCCCCAAGCCGACGCCCTATCCATTGAGCCAAACCGGTCTCGGCAAGGCCAAGTTTTATAAAAAAAAATTTTTTTAAATGGTCTAAAGTAAGCAAGTCAAAGTATAAATACTTTGATAGGATAGAAGTAGGTTTACAGTTGTGAGTACATAAAACAGAGTTTTCTCTTGTCTTATTTACTTATTTATTTTTCCATTGCTTTTCAGAGAGAGTGGAAGACCGGGAGGGAGGGAGACAGAGATCTATGTGAGACACATTGATTGGTTGCCTACAGAACCATCCTGACCAGGGGCAGGGAGCAGACCACAACCCAGGAATTGACCGGGAATTGAACCCACAAACCCTTTGGTATGCAGGCTGATGCTCTAACCACTGAACACACTGGCCAGGGCTCTTGCATTATTATTTATTAACTAGAGACCCAATGCACAAAATTCGTGCAAGAGTAGGCCTTCCTTCCCCCAGCTGCCAGAGCCAGCCTCCCTCTGGCACCCGGGACCCGGGCTTCCCTCGCAGCGCCAGCTTCGTCCAGAAGGACGTCTAACCTAATTAGCATAACATGCTTCTATTATAGATTCTTATATTATTCTCCATACAAACAACTGTAAATCTACTTTTGTACTTTGCATCACCCTGTATTTATTAAACCTGAGTAATGATATGTCACTGTACTTTTCTGTTCTTATGAAATAATTTATTAACACTGTAAATGATGTATACAGCAACTCTCTAGGATACATAAGAAACAAACAAGTTGAGGAGTGCTCAGATGGGGAAGAGGAAGATGGGGAGCAGGTGGGAGTAAGACTACTTGCTGTTATCCTTTTTGTTGCTTTTTTTCTTTTTTCTTTTTTTGTTGTTGCTTTTATTTTCATTTTTAAATTGTGAAATATAATAACTCTACAGGAAAGTGGGAAACCCGCACACATAGTTACTTACAGCTTAAAAAATAATTATAACTCAGGTATCACTGTAGCCCAGATCAAGAAATAATATGGAATATAGTTCACGGAGAAAGCAAACAGAACAGGTTGCCCAACTCAATGACCTGTTTCAAATCAACCCCCCTCCATGTGACCACCACCTAGATGCCGCCTCAGAATGAAAAGGAATAGTCCTGCCTCCTTGGTTGCATGTGAGGTCTGTGAGACATCTGCATTGCTGGGAGCAGTTGTAATCTCTGCCCTTGCATTCCTGTAGAGTATTCTGTCGGCTGAAACATGTTTAGGTATCCCTTCTATTGCAAATAAATGGGGGTGAAATTACTGAGAATCCATAGGATGGAATCCAGCTTGGGATATATACAGTCCTGCTGTGACCTACAAATATTCTTGTCCAGGCTTCCCGGCTCACTGAACAAACTGCAATTCTCCCTTCCTTTCTTTTCTTCTTTTTGGTAAAAAAAAAATATATATATATATATATATATATATATATATATATATATATATATATATATATAATATATTTACCATTTTAACCATTTTTAAGCGGTATTAAGCACATTAATTCACAATGTTTTGCAACCATCAACACCATCCATCTCCAGAACTTTGTCATCTTCCCAAAATAAAACTCTGTCCCCATTAAACACTAACTCCTCATCCTTCTCCCCAGCCCTGGCACCCATCATAACTCTAACTCCTCATCATAACCTCCTATGAATGAAATAATACAACACATGTCCCTTTGTAACTGGCTTATTTCACTTAGCATCAGGTCTTCCAGGTTCATCCATATTGTAGCATGTCAAAATTCCCTTCCTTTTTAAGGCTAAATTCTCTTTCAAAAATAGTGATTGGGTTCAATCAATATGGCTCAGTAGTTGAGCATCAACCTATGAACCAGGAGGTCAGGTTTGATTCCTGGTCAGGGCACATGCTCTGGTTACAGCCTCAATCCCCAAAAGGGGTGGGCAGGAGGCAGCCAGTCAATGATTCTCTCTCATCACCCATGTTTCTCTCTCTCTTTCCCTCTCCCTTCCTCTCTGAAATCAATAAAAATATATATATTTTTAAATGAACCTTTACCATGGACATAGACAATAGGGTGGTGAAGACCTGAGTTGGGGGGTGGGGGATAGAGGTGGTCAATGGGGTAAAAAAAAGGACATATGTAATACTTTCAACAATGAAGATTTTTTAAAAATAAAATGAGCCTATAAATAAATAAAAAGAAACAAACAAACCATGGTGCTGGAAGAGGTCACCCGTCTTCCAGATGCCTTGGTTCCCTGGGCTGTTCCTTGGGATTCCCTGAATGCACAGCACTGGGGACTGCACAGACCCCTCTCATCAGTCTTAATTGCTCTTACCAAAATTTTCTCAGCCCAGCTGGTGTTGCTCAGTTTTCGAGTCTTGACCTATGGACCAGGTCACCATTGGATTCCCAGTCAGGGCACATGCCAGGCTGCAGCTCCATCTCCAGTGTGTGGGGAAGGGGAGGGAGGGCCTGCAGGAGGCAGCCAATCAATCAGTGATTTTCCCTCTCTCAACATTGATGTCGCGCTCTCTCTCCTATCCTTCCTCTGAAATAAAAACATATTTTAAAAGATTACATAAATAGAATAAAAATTACTTCTGTGGAAATAATTTAAGTTCTACTTTATATACAATTTAAATACCATCTTAATAAGTAATTGCTAAAATAACATTTTTAAAAAATATATATTTTATTGATTTTTTTTTTTACAGAGAGGAAGAGAGAGGGATAGTTAGAAACATCGATCAGCTGCCTCTTGCACACCCCCTAATGGAGCTGTGCCCACAACCAAGGTACAAGCCCTTGACCAGAATTGAACCTGGGACCCTTCAGTCCGCAGGCCGACGCTCTATCCACTGAGCCAAACCGGTTTGGCTAAAATAGCATTTTATTTTATTTTTATTTTTTTATCAGATCCAGCTTTATTAAAATAGCATTTTAAATTAGACTCGAAGATGTATAAAAAATTTTTACACCCGCCTTCCCTCAGGCCCCCTGTGGTCTTGCGCTCAGGCAGCACTGTGGCCAGCCCGCCGGCCGGCGAGGACCCCACACAGCCAAGATGGCGGCGCCCGTGCGGCGCTCCCGCAGCCTGCTCGGGCTGGCGACAGCACTGGGCCCAGGCTTCCGTGCCTACCGGGCGCCTCCGCCCCCGCGCCGCTGGCCTGGGCCCTGGTGGCCAGATCCGGATGATCTGCTGACCCCGCCATGGCAGCTGGGGCCGCGTCACGCGGCCAAGCAGTTCGCGCGGCACGGCGCAGCCTCCGGGGTGGACCCCGGTTCGCTGTGGCCGTCGCAGGAACAGCTACGCGAGCTGGAGGCCGAGGAGAGCGAGTGGTACCCGAGCCTGGCGGCCATGCAGGAGTCATTGCGGGTACAGCAGCTGGCCGAGGAGCAGAAGCGTAAGGCCAGGTGCGTACGTGTGCGGGGCTGCGGGTCCGCGCCCTTAGTGGCCCAATGCGTGAATTGCACCCCAACGGGCCTTTTTCGTGGGGCTTGTGTTGCTGTAGATTTACGTGGTGCAAAGCAGACTTCTGAGTAACTGTTCAGGCGCCTACTGTGTGCAAGGCCTGTCCCAGGTGCGGAGGGCAACACAGCAGGGAACAAAACATTTCAGATAGCAACAGAGCTATTAGGAAGATAAAATTTGGTGAAGAGTGCAGTCGGAGGGCGGCTTTGGTTTGGGACTTACACTTGATGCTTAAGCAAAGATCTGAATGACCACACAAGGAAATGTTCTGGATAGAGGGAACAGCTAAGGCCCTGAGGTAGGAACGTGCTTTCAGGAACAGCCAGGCCGTCATTGGAAAGTGATGAGGTCTGGAATCAACAGCAAAGGTCGGATTCGTAAGTAGGTCTAGACTCAAAGGATTAGATTTAACCAAAGTATGGAGGCAAGACTAGGGGCATGAGGGTTGCACCCCTTTCTGGAGTGCGGAGCCAGCCAAAGCAGGCAAGGTGGAGCGGGCCATTTGTGTTCTCAGTGTTTAATGTTCTTATTTGCACAACAGCTCTGAGAGGAAGGGGGGGGACCACCTCAGTTTTAGAAATGAGGAAACTGAGGCCTGGGAGACGGAGTCACCAGTTCATCACCCAGGCAGTGAACGGTGGATATAGAATGGGAACCTCTCTCCTATCTCTGCCCCACCCCAGCTAAATAACAATCATGAGGCTTTAGTTCCTCCTGCCTCACATTTCTGATCCTTAAAATGGGGCTATAACTGGCACCTACACACTCAGGATTGGATGGAAAGGTCAATCCATTTCTTGTCTTTACTCTTGGCCTATAACTGGGCCTGGCTTACAGTAGTGGTCAGTTATGTCCCCGGGAATGGCAGGCATGGTGTGTGACACAGGTGGTTCACTAGACAGCTCGGTGAAATGTTCATTTGGGGTCTGCTTCTGGGGGTTATTGGGGCTTGGCCCTCTCATGCTCTAGGTTAGGGGTGTTGAACTCAGAGAAGGGGCCAAAATCTAAAATCCAGCCTAAATCGCGGGCCGAATGGTTTACTGAACAGTCATAAACTGTCATTGTGATGGAAACGCAGCGGAGTGCAGTGATGACAGCGCGGTGCGGGCCACATTGCAAGGCCTGGCGGGACGGATTTGGCCCACGGACCTTGTGTTTGACACATGTGCTCTAGGTCATACATAAATTAGTTCATCTCTACTGCCTTTTCACTAGATAATGGCCAAAATAAATCTTCCCAGTTTTTCAACTCCCTGGAGGAGTTAGAAAGCAAGGTGTGGGCAGACTAGCCGAAACCAGTTTGGCTCAGTGGATAGAGCGTCAGCCTGAAAGGTCCCAGGTTCCATTCCCGCGAAGAGCATGTACCCTGGTTGCGGGCACATCCCCAGTGGGGGGTATGCAAGAGGCAGCTGATCGATGTTTCTCACTCATCGGTGTTTCTAACTCTATCCCTCTCTCTTCCTCTCTGTAAAAAAATCAATAATATATATTTTTTTAAAAAACAAACACAAAGATGTGGGCAAACTGGAGGGTGTGATATGGGCAGATGTGTGCTTCTCTGGTTCGGTGTCACTTTCCTCACCTCCCACCTTCCTTCCCCTACAGGGAACAGCTCATTGCAGAGAGCATGGCCAAGATGCCACAGATGATTGAGAACTGGCGGCGGCAGAAGCAGGAGCGCAAGGAGAAGGAGAAGGCAGACAAGGAGCGGCGAGCCCGGCTGCAGGCTGAAGCCCAGGAGCGCCTGGGCTACCACGTGGACCCACGGAGTGCCCGTTTCCAGGAGCTGCTGCAGGACCTGGAGAAGCAGCAGCGCAAACGCCTCAAGGAGGAAAAACAAAGACAGAGGAAGGAGGCAAGAACTGCTGCAATGGCTGCCGCTGCAGACCAGGGCCCACCAGCCTCCGCGGCACCCAGCTCCTGAGCTCTTCCTTCTCAATAAAACCTGCTGCCCAGCAGCCTCGTCTTAGAGAGCTGTGTCCTCTCAGTAAACGCTCCCCTAATATGCGAGGCCAGGGAATCCCCATCCTCCCATCCTTCCCTGGCGCTGCTCCCTGGGGGACTCTAGACCATGTTTCAGGAGAGAACGGGGGATCAATGAGGAAATAATGTAGGAGCAGATGGCAGAGGAGAAGGCTTCTGTTTACCAACATTAATCTCCAGTAATTACGGGGGGGGGAGGGGGGGAGTTTAGCCAAAACAGACTGGTGATGATGGGGGATGGGGGTAGGAACAAGCCCTTTCAAGACCGAGATGGGACTGGGGCCCACTGCAGGGAGGAGGATACACTGGGGGCGCCTATCTGCACAGGCTGACGGGCCTCTGTCCCTTCTTGGCATTCCCCAATTGCCTGTGCCCAACTAACCCCCAGAGTCAGACAAGCTGGAGTGGGAAGCCCCAGCAGGCACAGACCACAGATGGGCTTTTAAAAGTTTATTCACTTCAAAACCTTTAGCAGAGACAGGGTTCTGTTCTGGGGTGGCCTTGACCTCCAGAGCAGCTCTGATGTTACCCCTTCCCCAGGCAGAAGCCTGGCCGCTTCCTCCCAATGAAGTGATGCAGGCTGGAGGCCAAGGCCAGAATGTGCTCACCCCAGATGGGAAGGTTTGGGCCATTCCAACAGAGGATCAAAGTTTGGGGCTCCAGCTTCCCCTCACCCTTTGGGGAATGGGGAAGCAAGCAGCCGCTTCTCCATCTGGCTGCAGGGAGCTGGGACAGAGGCCAAGAGGGGCCCATCTGTCACCCCCGGTCCTGCCAGCTCCTTAGAGCAGGAGCAGGCTGAGCTAAGGCAGGGAATGGGGGGACAGCTGTCTAGCCCAGGTCGTCTCAGGCTAAGATGGGAATAGGAGCCATTTCAGGAGGCTGGGAAGTTGGGTGGTTGTGTGTTTTAAAGATTTTTTTCTTTTTTTCCACTTCTTAAATAAACATGAATATATATATATATATATATATATTTCTTTTATAAAACGTTTGTAGATTTGGGGGTAGGGTGGGGCAGTAGGCAGCCTGGCTTCCTGGCATCACTCATCATCAAAGTTCTGACTCAGGAGGAAGTTGGCAGCCAAGTTCTCGTTTTTTTCACAGGCGAAGTAGGCCTGGATCACCAGGCTCTCTGGGAAGCCCAAGGCCTTCAACTGTGGGAAGATGGGCAGGTATGAGCAGGGGTTGAGGGGACCTGCCCACCAGTAGGGTTGCCCCTCAGCCAGGCCTCTTACCCTCTCTATAGCTTCCTTCTCCTGAGGCGTCACCTGGATGTAGTTCATCTGCGGGGCCTCCTCGCCTATGGCACCCACCTCACCCTCAATGTCAGAGATGTCCGCCAGCTCCCCAGGGGGCTCATTCAGCATCTGGATGAACTGCTCCTGGTGCCGGCTGATTTGCTGTGAGTGACAGAGGGCAGGGGATGACCCAAGGCCGCTGGCCCACCTCCCCAAGTGTATTATCATAGCCCTTGCTTTTCATTCACTAGTAAAGTATGTTGAAGGTCCCTATTCTAGCCAAATAGCAACAGTGGTGAACAGACCCTGCCTGGTGGAGCTGATATTCCAGAGTGGTGGGATAGGCCATAAACAAGCAAGTAAGTGGATAATTATTTACAATGTAAATATTGGGCTTGGCATACAGTAGGGCACACACAGGGCTAGGAAAGACATTTTGGGCCAGGAGAGAAGGGAGTTTCCTCAGGTAGAACGTGTTGCAAGTGCAAAGGCCAAAGTGTGGGGATGCATTTGACAAATCCCAGAAACAAGATCCATTTGGCTAAACTGAAGTACACAAGAAAGAGGAGAGTGAAGAACAGAAAATTAGAGAGAAAAATGGGACCAGACCTGCTTTCTTCTATGGCCTTCTAGTGTAATGGGACACCACAGTGGTGATGGGTAAATCTGTGTACCTTTTAAAATATTAATTCATAAGCCGGGACCGGTTTAGCTCAATGGATAGAGCGTCGGCTTGGGGACTGAAGGGACCCGGGTTCGATTCCAGTCAAGGGCATGTACCTTGGTTGCGGGCATATCCCCAGTAGGGGGTGTGCAAGAGGCAACTGATCGATGACTCTCTCTCATCGATGTTTCTAACTCTCTATCTCTATCCCTTCCTCTCTGTACAAAATCAATAAAATATATTAAAATAAATAAATAAATAAAATATTAATTCATATGGATGTTGCCTATCTGGGGGTTCTGATAAAACTGTCCCAACTTTTATGTACATATGACAATTTTCATTTGAATGAAGAAAGTGCTTTTTCAAGACTATCTCCTAATGGAGAATGGGCTGTGAGGGCTGTGCAGAAACAGGCCTGGCCACCAGGCGGGAGGTGAAGTATCAGCCACAGAGCTAGAGTGCGAGGCTGGACTGACAAGATGTTCTGGAAGTAGAGCAGATATACCAGGTGACAGACAACCCCACCAGGCTGGTCCGTGTGGGGATAGAAAGGGATGGAAAGAGGGTCTGCTCTGAAAACTTAAGACACCTGGAAAACATTTCCATGGAGGCATTAAATCAGCCATGGAAAAGCTGGCATCCAGAGGTCTGGCTGATTACACAGATTTGAGGGTCACCACAGACCGAAGGCCCCAGAAGGATCATGGGGAGGACTGAGTGCAGATAAAGAACAGGTGTGCAGCCTGGGCTCTCCAGCTGCTGGAGGAGGTGAACAGGAGGAACCAGCATAAGACAGAAGTGGGAAGAGCAGCAGCAGACTGGTCCTGAACTGGGAGAGGCAGGCATTCATGGAGGATCCAGAGCCAAGTAGGACCCAGTAGGGTTTCAACTGCAATGAAACCCTACTGACATGACATATATGAAGCACCAGCTGTATGTGCAGCTGAGACACAGAATCACAAGACCCAGAAGACAGAGCACAAGAGCCAGAGCTGGAGGCAGATACTCCACCAGCTGCACGCTGCACCAAGCCTCTGGGGTCTTCTTCTATAACACCCACACCCTCACATGGTGACTGGGAGGATTATACAGAACATAGGTCAAAGGGAGCACCAGGGGACTGCTGTTAGTCCATTTTTCCAAGTATAGAGGGGAATGCCTACAAAGCTACAAAGGTCCCGGACCAGGCTCCTCCTTTCAGGTTTTGGTTCCCATGGGGAGGAGAGGCATTGGCCACACTGGCTCCCTCTGAGCCCCCAGGGCCGCACCTGCAGAAGCTGTGGGTTTTCCTGGCCCAGCTGCTGAAGCAGGGCAGGCAGCAGCGCTGGGTTCTGCTGAATCACCTGCCGCATATTCTGGAACTGGGGCTGGTCCCGCAGGAACTCCAGGGGGTTCTCTCCGGCTGGCAGGAGGGAGGCATGTAGTGAGACCCCAGGCTGGGCTCCCAGAAGCCTTGACAGCAGACACCCCACATGCACACCTCCCAAGTCACTCACCTGGTTCTGTGGCCGGCTGCTCAGACACTTGGCTCTCCTGGACAGAACCATGTTCTGGCTCGGGACTCCCAGGAATTCCCTGTAGGGGTCCTATTTAGTTCTAAAGCACAGAAGACCCGCTGCCTCCCTCCTGCCCGCTCAGCCCTGGCAGGAGACAGGTGAGGCCCACCCATCCACTCATGTCCAGCCTTTTGTAGAAAGCCTTTCCTGGCTGGAACCACAACCCAAAGGCTTTTGGGAGCAGGTTTTGCCTCCCTGACCACCCATCAAGGCACTGAAGCCTCCCCAGGAGGCTGTTCCCCAACCTCACCGTGAGTAGATACTCCACGGCTCGGTGGGGGTTGTTGTAGCTGGCTCTCAGGGCGGCCACGACCCGTTCCCGATCATAGCCCATGGACATGATCTCCGTCAGCATCGTCTCATATTCAGAGCCAGTCACTGTGGAGGGAGCCGTGAGGTCTGGGTCACCAGGGGAAGGGAAGGAGAGCTCCCAGACCCTACTGAACCCACACAAGACCCAACTGATGGCTGGAACACCCAGTCACTTCTGCCCCCAGGGACTGCCCACCCACCTAGCGTGGAGGCTGCGTCATCCTCTCTCCCGCTGCTACCTGAAGAAGGAACAGAGCTGCAAATTCAAGAGAGAGAAATCGGACCCTGGCTTCTGGAGGTCTGCCCACCCCCTGTGTGTGTTATGTGGGCAATGGAATGTGCTGGGAGGACCGGGCCCAAACTGGGGCTGCTGCTCCCTGCCTTACCCTGACACAGACTCCGGGGATGCCGTGGGGACTGATTCCTCCGATGGACTCCTGTCCTCTCTGACGGTAGGTGGGATATGGGACATGCCTGAGGCAGGGGCCAGCGGGAAGGAGGTGGAGGACTCAGGGGCAGCAGTGGTTGAGGCCTCTGGGGGTACTGAGGTGCCTGAGCTGTTTTTGGCCTGTCATACCCAGAAAAAGGGAGCAGGCATCAGTATCCCTATCGAGCCTCAGCATCCAGCCACAGCCAGGCCCCACCCTATTCACAGCTAATCTCTCATGGGCACACAGGCTCTAGCCAGCTCCCCAGCTAAGCCATGTAATCCTCACAACCAGCATATTTCACCCACCTTGGTCACCATGACAACCACAAAGTTCTTCTCATCTATGTGATAGTCCCTGATGGGGACCTCGTCACTCAGGATCTTGCCAGCATAGATGAGTTTCTGTCCAGCCACAGGAAAGGCATCACGACCCTTTTCAGCTTCTATCTTCTCCTTTAGCACCTTCACCTGCAGGAAGGGATGCAGTCATTGCAAACAGCAAGATTCTCTCTTCTCTTCTAGCTTGGGGAGAAGAGGCTGAAAGCCTTGATGACAGAGAAGCTAAGCTTCACAGCCAAGCATGCTCGATTTGAGTTATTTGATCATTCCAATATTCAACAGAGTATTGACAGAACACTTATAATCTGTCAGGTGCTGTTTCAGACACTGAGGCACAGCAGGAAACAAAACGCAAGACCCTGTTCTCATAGAGATGACACTCATGTGGGGAAGAGTTAAAAGCAAGTATGTATTTTAGATGATGAAAAGTGTGGTGAAAAAACAAAACAATTTGGGGGGTTAAAGAGGGTTCCTCATTCCACACTGCAGACAGCCCTCAGTTCTTACTGAGAGTGTAAGTTAATAGGGCTATCATAAATGTATATGTGCCACATTTTTTGAGCCTCACAATAATTATACCCTCATTTCACATTTAAGAAAATGGAGGCACAGAAAGATTAAGTAATTTCTCCCCAAAGTCAAAGAGTTGAGGTTTAAAAAACAAAACAAAACAAAAAAACAACTGTGTTTCCTTTTCTGCAAAAAGTAGATGTCAATGTCTCCTTCATGGGGTAGCTGTGCAAAAAGTGCCGAGTACATACACAGTCCATATGTTTGTTGGGTCCTAAATAACCCTTTTCAGAGCTAAAAAAAAAAAGCAGAATAATGCTTTGACTGTGGGCTCTGACATAAGGCAGAGGTGAATTTGAATCTTACCTAGCTCTGCCATTACTCGCTGTGTGAGACTATGGCCAAGTTCCTTTACTCTAGGTTTCTGGATCTGTAAAGTGAGGAGTCAGGAGTCCCCAAATAACAGGCCTGTTTTGTAGATTTAGTAAGATAATAACAGTAAAAACTCAGCGACTAGCAAAGAACAAACGGCCAATAAACAAGGACCACTGAAACTCGGACCACTTAAAATCATTATCATCATCGCTGCCGTCATCAGTGGGCATCTACTGGCCGCTACTCCCAGATTCGGCCACCAACGTCCAGAGGAGACGCCCGCAAAGCTGAGAACCCAGAGCCCCCGTGTCGGGGAGCGCAGCCCAGCCGGGCATCCGAGCCAGCCTCCCGCGCCCCGCGAGAGCGCTGACATTAGACCCGGAGCCTGGCAGGCGCCCCGGGGGTGGAGCCTGGTCCGGAGACCAGACTGTGAGCGCCGCCCCGGCCACCAGGGGTTGGCGAAGACTATCAGGGGAAGGGGGGCAGAATGGTCCTGGAAAATGAGGCAGGTTGGGAGGAGTGAACTCGGTCCGGACCGCGCCATCCTCCCTGCCCTCCCGCCGGGATCTCTGCCTCCCCGCCCCCATACCACCCTCTGAACCCGTCACTCCCATCCCAGGCTCTAGCCTGGCTCGCACCGTCTCATCAGGCTCCATGCGGATCTTAAAAGTCTGCTGCTGCAGTGTCTTGAGCGTGATGGTGACGGCCATGGCGGGGCCCGAGCGAAGCGGCGGCCCCGGGACCCTCTCACAACATGCAACTCACGCCGCCGCCATCTTAGTGCCCAGCCGCACCGCTAGCCGACCGCTTCCGGGGCAGGTGCTGCGCGCGCAGACAATCAGAGCACGTGACCCCTGCGCGCGCGCGCTCTTCCCCTTCTCATCTCCCCCGCCTCCCCTCCCACCTTGGGCTTTCTTGGGCATGCGTATGAGGCACCCTCGGGCCAGGCATGCGCACACTAATTCTACGCTGCCGAGAGATGGATGTTCCCGGTTAAGCGAGCATGCCTGTCACGTGGCTTCGTGCGAGTGACGCCATGGCCGTTAGCAGTGACGTCATGCAACCACAAAATGGCTCCAGCGTCCCTACTTTCACCCTTGAGTTTGACATTGAACAAAAATGTTCATGAACTTGTTATACTTGTATTTCCCTATTGATAATCATCATTTTTGCACTTTCCAATTTAGTTTTATTCTGGTTTGCCCACCCTGACAGGAACCCTGTCAGGCTCTGAAAATATAACTTAAGACAGGAAAGGTCACCAATTAAACAAGTGAAATTTAAAAAAAGAAAATCATTTTGCTGTGGAAGCAGAGCCATTTTGTGGCCTCATTCATTCATTCCTGAGCTGAATTTTTTGTAATGCCCCTTACTTTAAAATTTGTGGGTCTCCCCCACCCTCTGCTCCTTTCCCAACTACTTTGCCCACCCCACTACCCCTAGTCTGACCCCAGAAGGATTTAAGGAAGATGTTAACTTTCAAGGCCCTGTACATTGAATACAGAAGTCTCTCCATAAACTTGCCAAACCTGGAGGCTTCCCACAGGACTGGGGCTCAGCCCCGGGACACAGGAAGGAAACCTGGAGGCTACCCCACAGAACAAAGATGAAGGGTTGGGTGTTTTGGGGGACTGGACGGACGCAAGGCTGGATTTATCTCCCAGTTTATTACTTCCCTTTGAACCTGCTCTTCTCACGGTTCCCATCCAAGCCTGGAACCAGGCCTTCACCCAACCTTACTCACTGCCCAACTGTAACCAGGTCCTGCAGCTTCTCCCTTTACTATGCAACCTGAGCCTAGAAGCTTCCACAAAGCAGGCCAGGACTTCAGTGGCAGCCTTGTGAACCCCATTACAGCAGGCCTAGGCCAGCCTCAGGAGCCCAGACCCTCCTGTCACCATCTCTGCATCAACTCAACCTCTGCACTCTCCCTTGAAGCCATCTCTCCAAGAAGTTTAAACTCCAGCTTGCCCATTGAGTACCTCCTCCGAACTGTGATTGTAACAGGAATAACTTTTATCACTATCCAATTGCTCTATGTAGTCTTGCTCCATGACAGTAAAAAGTACATAAAATTGTTAATAGAGATGGTATAAGGTAGTGTGTAAGGTGTGGGTTTAAATCCCTTCCCCACCTCTTAGATTCTGTACCGGTCTCATCAAACTGAACTGATACTAGAATAAAAACTCACCAGTTTGGTGCAAGGACTCAGTGAGTTGTGAGTTAATAATACCTGCAGTATCTGTAATGGCACTTAGTCCCCCTTCTCCCCGTGCTCCTTTCCAACTACTTTGTGTGGATAAACGAAGACCCTTGTAGCTTTATGGGACATTCTGCGGTTTTGGTGGCTGAAAAGCTAACCTTATTGAAGTCGCCCACTAAGAAAAGGCCACCCTTCAGTTCCCTGATGTCCGTCTTCTCCCAGAAGGAGACACAGGAGGAAGACACAAAACTTAATTTAATAGAAACTTTGTTTGCAGTTCTTACATTTCTCAGTGTGAGCCGAGCTAGAACCGACTGCCCCACCAAGTGGCCCAGTAATGGAGGCAGGGAAGAAAGGGAGCTGGTGGGGTTATCAGAGCTCAAGCCCAGGAGCCCAAATCTTCCTCAGTGCTGGGGGGTTGAGGGATCCATCCTCTTCTCCTGCCCCCCTCTGGGCTCCACACCCCACATGCCCCAAGGTTGGAAGGGGAACTAAGGGATCTAAATGGGGAAAGGGGACAGAAGAAGGCAAAGATGTCAAAAAAGATGGGGGCCGACAGAGAATCAGAGACAAAACACCAATAAAAAAAAGGGGGAAGGCGGGAACAATACCAAAATCTACCCCAAATTGGAACCCGCCTGGAAAAAAGGAAAGTTCTCCAGTCTCATAGAGACATTATTTGGCGCGGCCAGCTCTGTGACGGGAGCGCTCAGGCCTCAGTCCAGCCCTGGAAGCGATGGTGTGGCCCCTACAGCTCATCCTTGGCCTGGCCAGCAGCATCTTCCTCCTCATCTTCATCCTTATCATCCTCATCCTCATCATCTTCATCTTTGTCCTCATCGTCGTCTTTGTCTGCCTCCTCCTCTTCCTTGCGCTTCTTGTCCTCCTCTTCCTCCTTCAGTCTCTGCTCCTCATCTTGCTTGTCTTTCATTTGCTTTTCTGCTGCCTGTAGGCAGACAACAAACTCAAGGTCTGGCCCCCCACCTGCCTGCCCCACCTACCCCTCAACCCAGGAATGGACACTTGTCCCACCTTTGTGACTCCCCACGTCTCCTTGCCAAACTCTTCGGCATACGCTTCATCATTGGTGATGAGGAAGTTGTCAAAGATGGTACCAGACTTGACCTGGGGAGGATGATGGATGGAAGGATGGTCAGAGTGGGGATACTCCGTGGCCCTGGTCTCAGGTTCAATAACCACTGCACATTCTCACAGCCTAACATTGTGATTAAAAAAAACAAGCTGACTGGCTTCAAAACCTATATGACCTTGGACTGGTGAATTCTCCGAATTTTAGCATCTTCATCTATATAATGGGGTCTCACTCACTTCTGCATATATTTTTCTAGTACCTACCATGTCTCAGCTTCTAGGCACAGGAGTACATCACTGAACAAAAAGAAAAAATGTGGTCCCTCTGAAGCTAATTTTTTAATGGGACTGTCTGTAACCACTTTTTAGGTCATTGGGGCAGTTAATGAGTTGGTTTAGACAAAGTTTCTTGAAGAAGTGCCCAGCACAAAGTATACAGAACCTCAAAGAGGTTCGTGTGTGGGAGGGAGGGAGAGGGGAGGTCCTGTGATATGACCAGGAAATTCTTCAGAAAAAGCACCACTTTAGGCTCATACCTGCCTAGGGATGAGTCCCACCCTCGTCCCTTTCCTCCTGGGTGATTCTGAGCACTTGCGGTCCCCTAGGGATCCTCCTGTTCCCTCCGCATCGCACCTGCCAAAGGTCCAGGCCCAGAACAGCGAAGTTTTCATAAGCATAGATACTGCTATCAGGAGAATACTCGGGGTTGTCGATCTCTGGATGAATCCAAGTGCCCTTGTAATCTGGGTTGTCAATCTGCCGGGGCTTCCACTCGCCCTGCGGAAGGAGAAGGAATCGAAGGTGAGTGAAAGTCAGTGTGCTCCCCACTATGTACCCGCTCTGCTATGCTAGGAGCCCCAGGACTACCTTGTATTCCGGGTTCTGAATCACTGGTGGTTCCCACTCTCCATCCATCTCTTCATCCCAGTCCTCAGGCTTCTTAGCATCAGGGTCAGGGATGTGCTCGGGCTTGTCCCAGTCCTAAGAGTACACGAGGAGGTCAAAGCCATCCCAGCTCTCCACCACCCCTCTATGGTGGGAAGCCCCTGCCCAGGCACCAACCTCAGGTTTGGAGTCTGTAGGGTCATCAATCTTGGCCCGCTCATCCCAGTCTTCAGGCTTTGAAGCATCGGGATCCTTTATCTTCTTGGGTGGCAGGAAGTCCCAATCATCCTCCAGAGAGCCAGACTCCACCTGGCTATTGTCAATTTTTACCTCGTAGGTGTTATCGGGCCGTACAATCAGCGTATATAGATGTGTGAATTCATCGTCCTGAAGAAGGCAGGAAATGAGTGGCCCTGCCCACTGGACTGGCCTATGAGCCTACCCCAGGCAGCCATTTGATACCACCCCTAGGCACACCTTGCAACGGATGTCCTTGTTGATGAGCACGTTCTTGCCCTTGTAGTTGAAGATAACATGAACCTTCTTGGTCCCAGGGCCACAGATGTCAGGGCCTAGGTGAGAAGCAGGTCCAGTTAAGGATTGGAGGTGGCTCACCATTGCCAGGCCTCCCACCCCTCTTTACAGAAGGAAAGCTTGACTCTTAAACTCAGATTTATTAAGACTCAAAATATTCAGACCTTGACTATCTCTAAAAGACAATGAATGGAGTACTGAAGGAAAAAAGAAAAAGAAAAAAAAAGCACCCTAACCGGTTTGGCTCAGTGGTTAGAGCAGTCAGCCTCAGGGCAGAAGGGTCCCAGGTTCGATTCCAGTCAAGGGCGTGTACCTTGGTTACTGGCACATCCCCAGAGGGGGATGTGCAGGAAGCAGCTGAGCGATGTTTCTAACTATACCTCTCCCTTCCTCTCTGTAAAAAAAAATTAATAAAATATATTTTTTTAAAAACAAAAACAAAAAATCACTCTCTAGAACTCAGTATTCTCACTTGTAAAACTGGAAAACATCTACATAAGATCTCACAAATTAACAGCCTTAGATCAACAATAGCAATGCAACAATTTGCTGCTGTGACTAACCCCTCAGTTTCCTCTTCAAAAAAAAAAAAAAAAAAAAAAAAAAAGCCTGCCAATGTATTTCCTAGGCTCTCAGGACTACTTTTCACCGCTACAAGGAAGCCATGGATGGGTTTGTCTCCCTCTACTCAGAGGTCAGCAATAGGGCGGGGCCCCTCACCGAACATGATGTTGTATTCCGAGTCTCCATGCATGTCCGTCTGGTCCAAAGTATCTGGAAATAGCTTCACATAGCCGCCCCCGCAGTCGATGTTCTGCTCGTGTTTCACAGTAAACTGCACCACCAGCGTCTGGTCCTTGTTGCTGAAAGGCTCAAATCTGGCAGACAAGGCGTAAAAGCGGGCATCCTGGCTCGTCTGCAGCCCTAGCAGAGGACAGTAGTGAGGTCACGGCTGGCCCCAATCCCCAGGGACCCTAAGAATCAAAGACTCAGACAGCCATTCCCCTTCCTCTGCCTGCCCTGCTCCTGGGGATGCCCTGGCCGTCAGCGACCAGGGCTTCCTCCGGGAGGTCCTCCCACATCTCGGCTCCCAGCTCCAGGCTCTTAC